AAAAAAAAAAAAAATCGCACCGGGTTTTGTTTTATATATATATATATATATCAATTATTTTAAAAAAATGAAATCACAACGGTTAACTTTAAAAAAATTATATAATTCTATCATGGCCTTAACCTTTTCTTTGGCGGAACAAACTAAATATATGAACCAAGCTGCTGGCATAAGTTAAGGATGCTCATCATTTTTAAATATAAGACAAGATAAGATTCTTTTATTGATCCAAATAAATGGAAATGTTTTTTGATTGCATTATACATTTTCAGCTAAAAAATAAAACAATTTGAACACAAGACATTTATAATAAATTATTTCAAACAGCCATTTAGTGAGTTCTCTTAGCAAAATCGGGGACTTGTTAGTTCTCATTCAGATGTGTGACTTCAGAGGAAGCATGCCGGTAAATTCGTACAGATTGGGGAACAAAAGAATTTTTTATATCTGTCAGTCCTCGCCCTGAAGGAAAGAATTCGTCCCGAACGGCCCGATCCTAAGTATCTGTGATGAAGAGGGTGGGATGTATCATCCAAAATGTGTTTAGTTTTGCAAAAACATCTTTCTTCAAATAGTTCTTCAAGTGAAGGATGTTTAGTTTGTGTTATGTTCGTAGCTTTCTTGATTAGTCGGTTTATGCGGTGTTTAATATCAGACGTTGAATTCCCACACCAGCAGGTAATACTGAAATAAAGCAGGCTTCCAATTGTTGCTCTGTAGAATAAGTTAACGATTTGCTTGTTTACGCCGAAATTGTACAGTTTTTTGAGGTAGAAAAGTCTTTGGTTGAATTTCTTATACAGCATTTGGCCGTGCTCATGCCATGTTAGCTTATTATTAATGGTGACACCTAAGTACTTGTATGCCTCTACTTTCTCCACATTTTGATTTTTTATGTTTGATATCTGTAATCTGGTATTTCCCCCTCCTGAAATCAACAACCATTTCTTTAGTTTTTGAGACATTCAACTGGAGAAAATTTTCATCGCACCAATTGATAAAGCTCGTAACTAAGTTGCGGTATATGCCTTCTACTTCAGATATTAAACCAACAATGGTATGACAAACACATGGGTGTTCAATATACACACACACACAATGAAACTCTCAAACCAAAGCTCAAGTACATATTAGAAAGAACTCTCGTTAGGTCAATTTGAGTGAAAATAGTTCATCCACCTTTTAAAATCAATTAACCCCATAACAAAAAAGGGGAGGGGGGTGGAAGAGGTGGGAGGAGGCATCAAAGTTAGGACCTGCCAGGAAAATCCGCTGACAGATTGCTGACATCCACACCCCCAGTTCCTATCTATGGCTCTGATAATTTGCATCGATTGCAGCAACTAAACGGTGGCCGATGGCCAAAAGAGTAGCTAAGTGGAGTTCCGAACTGGGGATTGAAGCTCTGGAGCACGGCCTTTTAGCCCGGAGCTGGAACAAAGCCTGTCAAAAATTCTGCTCCAAAATTTTGCAATCAATAACTCCCACACACACAAAAATGTACAAATTACCAATTTTTTCCAAAGAAATTGCACTGTATAAAGATGTGATTTTTGATTTAAAAAATGAGAGATCAACCATAGCTTGCATCTAACAATATGGGACACGCCATGTGGAAATCCTATTTGCAATATTTCTGGAAGATCAAGAATTCTTAGAAATAAATGCGTCTCTTCAGTGATGTTTGATCATTTATTTTTCGTAATTAGGGCACAATAGTAGCGTTATCGGTCTCAGCTGAGCGATATCTTGTTTCGAAATAGGATA